CTCATCCTGGCTAGCCACACTAAGCATCGTTGTGAATCTAATTTTGGGTGCAGGCTTTTGTTAGCGAGTATGCTGTTACAGGAAACGATGCCGGCAGAGGAAGTCTTCTTGCTTCATTGGCAGAGGCCGCTTTCCTTACTGGGCTGGAGAAGAATAGGTAATTCTCCTTCAAAATATTTTTTATTTGGCACTTTGTTGTTGGGTGATTTGCACCTGAGTTTCTTGGATAAAAGTTTGACACTATGTTTCCTCATCGAGTCTACCTAATGGAGATTTATTGCATTCTACTAGAAACAACGAAGTGGTGTTTACTTTCGAGTTACCTGACCATTCACTTCTTCTTTTACAGTGATGTTGTTCATATGGCAAGCTATGCACCGCTCTTCATAAATGATAACGACCGCACGTTAGTTATCAATCAGTGGCTTGCTCTTTCTTCAACATTTCACCTGTTCATGTTGATTATTTTAGCACTGCAATAATTACATTCGAACGTGACAATCAGGTGGAACCCAGATGCTATCGTCTTCAACTCCTGGCAGCAATATGGGACTCCCAGTTACTGGATGCAGAAGTTTTTCCGTGAATCAAGCGGCGCTACGATCCATCCCATCACAATCAGTTCAAGCTACTCTGATTCGCTGGCAGCATCCGCGATCACGTGGCATGATGACGAGAACAGCATCCTGAGAGTTAAGGCAAGTAAAATCTTTTGGCATCCTAGACATAGCCGGTATCTGGACGGAGTTGTACTGATCTCGGAAGCTCATGCATTTGCAGATTGTGAACTTTGGGCCAGATGCCGTGAGCCTTACATTCTCGGCAACTGGGCTCCAGGGCAGCATCAATGCGCTCGGATCCACCGCGACCGTTCTCACATCCGGCAGTGTAATGGACGAGAACTCTTTCGCTAACCCAAATAAGGTATCACACCGATCTCTGCTCGCATTCAGATCAAATGCGTCGCAAAGTGTAGAGCCCGTTGCCCTCGGTTATGATATGATATGATTGAAGGCATGGCAGTTGCGAGCGCTGTTGTTCGTTTGTTCTGGTCAGCTCATCTGAAGCAGCCAATGCGCTTTGCAGGGGCGGAGCTAGAAAATTTGACCATTGGGTTCACTCACTGAATTATTGTGAGAATATGATATAAATAATTTACGTGCAAGGTCTGATTTTAGACAATATTATAACAAAAGTATAACATCCAAAGAAAACATAACAAATAGAATTATGATATCATTTATCACATATTGTATGACGGTAAAAACTGAAGAGTGTTGTACATACTTATTGACTGAAATCATAAAACCTCTTTTTTACATGTTATAAATAGAGTGGTGCCAAAATAACTTCAAGTGTTAGGTTTATTTTCTCATGTCCTTGAAAACATTGAAGCAAATGACAAATTAGTTTAAAAAGTTCAAAAATAAAGACCAGCAAGCAAAAGAAGTATGTTAAGTCACTCACATTTTGAGTACCCCGTTAGATTTTCATCATCTCAAAAAGATCAATCAAAACATTTAATACTAATGATAGAAAACATAGTTTCAACACATGGCAAATTAAAGAATCACTCATGAACCGATTACCCATTTTGTTACGCAACTTTTTCTTCACAACATTCATAACCGAAATGCATTTCTTCATTGATGTTGTGTCATCTCACAATACCTTTAGACGATGACAGATAAAAGAAAAAGTAACATGCTTATTGATCAAACCGTTCTGGATTACTTTTTAGGAAACATCACCAATGGCCCTTTGTGGATAATCAAAATTAGATGGTGGCCTTATTAAATATCTTTGCCTAGTATCACCATCCTCTAAAATTCTCTTCTGATTAGTCGAATCGTAAGGCAACACATCTGAATTAATCCATCTGGCTTTAAAACCCACTTGCAACAATGATATTCGATGCACTTTGCGTACACCTAACGGCTGGCTTAATGGCCTTGATGTACCCGCATCATTTTTTGGATCTGGTGATCGACTCGACGACTTCCCTTACAGAAACTCCTTTGGATAGGCTAAATCAATCAGAATTTCTGAAATACACAATTAAGAAACTAGGGGATGTGCAAGAGATGTGATGATGCAATCTCATCACCTCGATAGAACTATAATAGTCTGCTTGCCGCCGTCGACCTGTCGTTGTCAGCTCGTCGGTGGTGTCTCAAGTGGTGACCAATTGATGGCGAATAGGAGAGACCAGATCAGAGGATTGTGGAAGCGAGCAACTAGGGCAAGAGATCATGCGGCTGGGGTTTACATACAAGAGATTAGGATTAAGGGGAGCAGATAGGAGCGCATGAACAGGCTTTCACGTGGCAATTCCCTTGTGGGCTTTTGGGCCTTGCATTGAGCGTCTAAGTTTGATGGGGTCAGCTCTTATTTTTTGTTGGGGTCAAAGCATGTACGTATCTGTATACTGTATGCGGCCATAAAAATTCGTTGGGTTCAGCTGAACCCAACGCCAATGTGCTGGCCCCGCCGCTGGCGCTTTGCGTCTGACTATGATGAATGATGCAGGTTGTGCCGGTGATGATCGAGTTGCGTAACGCCGCGGAGGAGATGGAGGTCACGCTGCCTCCCCACTCTCTCAGTGCATTCGACCTGGCGCTGGCGCAGTCCAGGCTTGTAGCGGAGATGTGAAGCGAATGACACGGCGTTGGTGAATAAGAGAACGATGGGCAGGGCAAAGCACCGGCAACAGCAAGCGGAGAGGGGTCAGTGCGCGCGCTTGTGTCCTGATAAAGCACTGTATCATGTGTGTACGGTGGTGTGGCATGAAGGAAAATACTGGAGTAAATAAAAATCACGTCAGGGGTCAGGCTTGTTTTCTTTTATTTTCTATTCTGAAAGTGCATTTTCAGTTTTTCTCGGCGAAGGCAAAAGGAAAGGTTTGTCTTTTGGGAAAAGCTTGGCTTCAGCCGGCGGATCGTACGCGGGCGTCCACCGCCTCGTCCGTGTGACGTGTGTCCTTGGGGCTCACCTAGCATTATCTTTTACGGTTTTGCAACTGAGCCCTTGTAGTGATTTTTTCACCACAACAACTTGTATGTTGCAGGAACAGGATCTAGATCCTTCGTTGAAAAAGGTGAAAACAGAAAAAGAACTGCAGCACTTGAATGTTTTTGCGACATGAACTCTCTTGCAAGGAGGGTTCTACAACACTGATTTTGTTGCAATAATGAGGACGGGGTTAGACTGTTGGTTGGACTAGATCTAACGGCTGTTGATGTGGATCTTTTCAGATTATCCACTGGCGGACGCGTAGATGGCTTCAGCCGGCAGATCGCATGCGGGCGTCCGCCGCCTCATTCGTGTGGCGCGTGTCCTGCGGGCTCATCTAGCATTATCTTTTATGATTTTGTAACTGAGCCCTTGTTATGTTTTTTCCACCGCAATGACTCATATGTTGCAGGATTTGGATCGGTATTCATTGGTGCGTCATTTTGTCAAAATCCTCTCATTGCACGAAAGTTGGCAGAATGGCACAACTTTCATTGACCTTTGTCTTATCTTCAACATGGACTCATAAACTGCCCGTGGTACGCATTAGGTACCCTATTGGTCCATGAACCGGTTCAGACGTTCGTTTTCACGCAAATTGAAGGCAAACAAGGGGGTTTTGCGGGTATTTGGACCATCGCCACACACGTGTCCTGCAACCTGGTCCCACCAGAAAACCCTCTTTCCTGAAAATCCTCGCGCGCAAAGCGATTACCGCACACTCATGCCAGTCAGCGCCGCTCCACAACGGACGTGACTCTGCAGCATTGATATCGGTCGAAGCGACGCATCGAACGAGTGGGAGGCGTCGCTTCAATGCAGACACGCGCGGCCGAGAAGCCCACTTCGACTGTTGCGTCGCATTGAAGCTGGCTTCCAACCCCTTCACCGGGCCACCGTGCCTATTTTTAGTCGTGTTCCGGCATCGTCCACATTGCATCTCTTCAAACCCTCTCCGCGCTCAGCCTCTCGTCATCTCCAAACTCCTCCTTTTCCCCACCCACCATGCCCAAGTCATGGTTCTTTGCGCGGGCAGGTGGCTCCAGCTCCGCACCACCGTCCAAATCTTGGTGGCGGGCAGTCGGTTCCAGGTCCGCACCGTCGTTCAGATCTTGGCACCGCTACCGTTGTTCTCCAAGGCCCTTGAGCTCTTCTCCGACCAAGGGATCGTCATCTCCTCCTCCAATGATGAGAACCAAGCGTCATTGCAGCAGTCGCGCCTCCTCTTGAAGGCCGCAACCACAGACAAGGAGAAGAGTTCTTGCAGCAGATAGAGCTTCTGACGAAGCGATCGCTCTGGGAACATGGTCCAGCGCCACCACCGGCCCCACCACAAGCACACATGGGCGAGCCACCCTCACTACCGCATGAAGCAAGAGCCAGCGTCACCACCTCTCCAATGTGTTAAATATATTGTTGAATTCATATTTATAAATGTAGTTTTTAATGATATTGTTTTTACTACGTATAACCTACATTTTATTAAACATACATTTATTAATTAAAAAGCCATGGTCAAAATATGACCCAAAATACGGGGACTAGTAAACCCTAATGAAGGTAATCGGTCCAATCTGGCGGATCCAACGTGGTGAACACACCCGGGCACATCCAGACAACCCAAATCCGCTCCACATATTGGTTGGGTTTAATGGGTGCCATACAGCCCAAATGTTTGGGCTGGCTTTGGAGGATCCGTCAGGGTGGCAATTTTATGACCAGGCAGTGAGTGAAAGTTTGGAGAGGGTTTAAGGGATTCGGTTGTAGATGCTCTAAGCACCGCCACCGTCACTACCAATACTAGTAATAAAGACAGCCGATATACAAGACACTCCCAATGCAAAAAGAAAAAGGAGCACAAACAAACCAAGAAAGTGCTATGTAGTAGGGAGGTATCAGAAGCCCGTCATCTCTAAAGAGTACACATATATTGCCGAAATCAGAAATAGGTCTCGGGGAGCAAAACGCCACGAGTGTCCAGCAGATAGTTAATGGGAGCGGAGTATCAGTGGGTATGTGCAACACCAGCCGCTGCTCCAGCACTGCATTGTCAAATTGGAAACGATTTGTGAGCAAAACTGTTTTTTATCATATACTTGAAAACCTTCAGGGACCTCCATCTTACCACAGAAAGCAGCGGTCCTTGCTTGAATTTGTTGTGGAAGGCGAACGCGAGCGCCTTCACGCCCTCTCCAGGTCCTCTGATGAATCCACTAGACGCGTGCACAGGAATTTCATCAGACCATGTGTGTCATCGGGATTCATGACACAATCATCATAATCGAGATAATGGGCATAAACAGGAAGATTGCGAACTTACACCAGCGAAACTGAAACAAGTGGAGATCTTCTCACATCATAGACAGCAACAAGTCCCTGATATGTTTCATTACCATCTTTGAATGACACTGCCAGACGCTCTCCTGCAGCATCCCATGCTAATTTCTCTATGCCTCGACTGGATGAAGCAGTTAAAAGCATAAGTTAGTGCATGGAAGCCAGCAACAACCAGGTTGTATTTCTGGGTTGCTACGGTTCAACCTTACAAATATATAAAGCGTATATGTATATGAATGACCTCCAAGCTAGATAAGATGAAAGCAATTTGAATTCACAAAACATGTTACTTCAGAAATAAAATCAACAACACAACCACAATGTGGTTACTTTGCAATATCACCGGCTAAAATTAGCATTTCAAGACAACAGTAAAATATGTTGCATGAGGTCCACATGAAGTCAAGAGTAGAATGGCAGTGCCGCTTTTGTTACCTAACAATCAGAGAGGAAATTTCTGGAAGCTCCACTGGTAGGAGATGAGCATCTGAAGTTAAGGAACACATCATAACTGATCAGGATTCAGGAATGTACACAATAGCATACCTTGAACTGAAAGAATGCAGTAATGCCTATACCTAAAGATGGTGGCTTTGATGAGAAGTGAACTGAACCTAGTGTGGTTGAGTTAGAAAAGGATAACAATGCAACACGACCTTCTGGGTCCCAGTTTGCTCCCTGACATTAAGCAAACAAGAGTCAATAAACATCATGCCTCCAAAAAAACAGTAGCACCACAATCAATCCACTATACTGTTTTAAAGGTCTGTAAGCGACACCAGATATATGGCTGTAAGTCAAATTAAGCGTTATGCAAAGCCAATACTAACAATGTTCAAACTGAACAAACAGAGGCAACACTAATTGCTGAAGAAAAATAACTATTATGTTACCTAAAAAAGTTCAAATTACTTTCAATGACCTAAAACACATTAATAACAAAATGTAACAAATCCCAAGAAACAAATGGTGCAAAGTTGTCATACAATCATGCTAAACATATTAGCATTCAAAATAACTTCATATACACCCTTATGAAGTCAGGAATAGGTTAATTTTTTCACAAGCATGATAAGCACGCTAGATTTCATGGAATACTACAACTTAGGAATTATGCATATCATTGCTCGTCGATTTCACAACTTAGGAATTATGCTTAGATTTAAAATACTACAATAGCATTATACTTAGGAATTTGACTGTCCAGTCTTCAAACTTTAGTTATTTATAGAAATGTATATATCACTTACAGTTACATATCCATTGGATGAAGACCAGGGTTCTGACGTCCATGTGTTGGTTTCCCATAAGTGAAAAGTTCCATCGCTAACAAAAAAAATTTGAATTATATCATTCATAAAAAAAACAGTCATGAAAGATAGGAACAAAATATATAGGCATACAATTTAGCAGTCAAAAAGTAATCTCCACTAGGTGACCACCGCACCAATGATATGCTACTCAATCCGCGTCGTATAGGAGTTCCCAATCCTGCAACAAACAAATATGTATATACATTAATATATAGATCTGTAAAAGATAGGATTGGATGTCTGAATTTAGAAGAAATGGATATACCTTGAGAAACATCCCAAATTGTGAATGACTGGCCATTACAAGAGGCCGAGGCCAAGTATGTGGAGATATGTCAAGGGAAATTATCTAAAACCATCAACAGTTTGTAAATTCAAGTAACACGTAGTGTAAATCTTTCTGTTTGCAGGGTGCATCGTAAATATTAATCTAGAATTTACATATTGTTCTTTGCTGCCCAATCTGAAAAAATGGAGTTATCACATGTTGCCTGCAGTTCTTTTGATGTTTTCTTAGTTTTCAAATAAGAGAGATAAAATCAATGGTAACCTCCAATAGATGCCATTCTAAAAAACTAATAAAGGATATCTTCCATCAGGTTTCCAGCAAAGTGCACTGACTAGCTCAGGAGAAGAACCACGAAGAACATCCACCAGAATCCACTGACCACTAGAACCTCTAGGGAAGGCACCAAAGGAAGAAGAGGTGACACCAGATTTCATGGATGCAACATTGCCAGGATATGATGCTGACCAGAGGCATATACCTCCGCTGAAAAGAAAATTGCCAACTCAGTCAAAAAGTATATTATTATGAAATGACCAAGAATGTGGTGGCATTTTAATACTGTTCCATTATTAGGTGATACTAACTACTACGTACTTGCAGCCAACTGCAATCATCTTCCCGCTATTTGGCCTCCATTCAATAGCTTTAACTTCCTTTTGATGTTCACTTGTTAGAATGCACGATTCTTTACCATCTGTTTAGAAAATCAGCAGTTATTATGGACTTTAACTAAGTGAGTAAACATATTAGTTCATTAAAAACTGAAACAGGCACTCACAAAGTTATGCACCTCAAAAACCAGGAACGATATCCATTTATTGATACAAGAAAGTAGGCAAATCTCACCTGAATCCTCAAAGTCATGGACCGTAACCTGGTCCTTCCCAGATACAAATGCTAAACAGTGTTTGTGTGGATTCCAGCTTACTTTCTGGGTATCAAATTCTTCTAGCAGTTTTGGCTGGTAAACGAAATGTCCTTTGTCAGTATGATTGTCATGAATTTAAACAACCATAATGAGAAACTATACAGAAACTCGAGAATATTCTAAAAGAGCAGCTTCAGGATTTAATTTTGAGAGAACAGACTAAAGCCAAAAAATGGAGCAAGTATGTTAGAAAAGTGGGAAAATCATGCACAGAGAGAGACAATTGTCAAATAAGCATAAAAGAATGTCATGAAATAACATGGTAAGTTTTCCAAGCTGTATTGAGCGTGCAGTTGTAATGTAAACATATCTTGATGAACTCAACACTCTTACTAAGGATAAGTGTGCTGGTGTTGAACTGTGCTGTCATTATTTTGTGATCAGTTGAGGAAAATTAGCCACTAAAATAAGGAAAAACTGTTGGGCAAACGGAATTATCTTAATCCACCTCAATACCAGACGGTAGCTTTTGGAACTTGTAGAACAAATTATGCAAGCTCAGTAGTGAGACACAGGCGAGGGAGCAGCTCGCATGCAACCGAGTTACATAGATACCAACGTATTTTTTAGTAGCTATACACATTGGCAGTTGATGAGTATAAAATCCCACACAACCCTGTCTTCTCATACAGACACATGGTTACTTCTCGAGATAACATACTATGACGATATGGTATACTGGCAGAATCTTTTGACCATATCAATCACAGCCAGACAAAGAAATGCAGGGTTTTCTTTTTGAACATGAGGTTTTCTCTTTGGACAAGACACATTCCGGAGAAACGGTAATAAAACACAACTGAATGCAAGAATTCAGAAAACTCACATTGCAAGAAGGGAAGAGCATTTGCTTGAAGGACTCGGCTATGGTGGACACCAAACTTGTTCTGGGGACACTCTCAGGGAGCTCAGCTTCGTCTGGAGCAGGAGCCTCGTGCTTGGCTAGGAGATCATCCGGCTGGAAAGGAATTGGGCTGAACACCATCCCCTGAAATATCCACATTGTGGGCATATGAATACAATTTGGAGTAAATTGGAGTGCTAAAACTCTAAATCCTCCGCAGAGAGATGAAAGCTGATAGTCGAGGTGAAGATGAACTGACGAGGACATCCCCGTAGGCCTCCTTGGCGCGATCCTCCGACAGGGAGTCCGCCACAACTGCGACCCAATGCGCAATCGATTAGTGGTGCGTGTGGTTGTTGGGGGGAGGAGGGGTTGCAAGCAAGCTGCAGGAGCAAGCGGAAGCTGGTTGTGGGGGTACGTACCGAGGTCGCGGTTGATCTCGCAGACGGTGACGCCGCCCGGCGGAGGGAAGCTCGGCATCGTCGCGGCCGGCGAGAGGGCGGCGGGTTACCTTGCCTAGGGTTGGGGCCCTGGGGGCGCTCGGCTTCCCAATCCGAAATGGGGTCCGAAATTCAATTGATAAGCAGACAACAGGAGGACGCGGGGGTGGGGGGTGGGGGGGCGGCGGCGGCGAGTAGCTGAGAGCGAGGCGGCCGGCGGTGACTGTCGAGACTGGCGGGGAGGCGGAGGAGGGGAGGAGCAGAGCCGCTGGAGACTGAGAATTGATAAACCCTTGGGCCATCGCGTAAGAAGGACGGACGGTGCGGATACGGCTTCCACCTCCATCCAACGGCTGAGAGGCCTCGCGCGCGCCTCCTCCTGCGTTTAGAGTTCGAGAAAGAAACGTGACCCCTTTGCTTCTTCACAGACCCTTTCTCCCGCCGTCCGGCTTGACCGACCACCGTCGCCGTGCGCCTGCGGCGGCGCGTCGCTCTCGCCCTTACTAGATACAAGGATTCCCCCAACGACCGAGTCATGGCCGCTCTCTTCTTCCGTCCCTCTCACACAAGAGCGCGGTACAGGGGACAGGGGTGGCTGGAGCTCGTTTCGGCCATCCTGCACGCGTCCTGCTCGATGAATTGACTACGAGGGTTAAGGTCCCTCTCTTTTCTTTCTCTCGTTTTTCTTGCAACGTCTCTCGTCATGAATTATGTCATCTAGACTAATGGGCACCATATGATCACGTGCCACAAAACATCACAGAAGATTATCATTGGGAAAGAAGAACCAACTTCTTGCTTTGTGTTGCAGTATATAAAATAGCCAAATATAAGTGTCTACAGATCAGACATGAACTTTATTACGAGAGCGTTGCTTCATTGTACTTCTAGCTTCATCAGCCAAATGGAGGATCTGGACATTCAATTTCATAGCTGATGATTTGCTTTTATTCTCCTCCGGTCTTATAAGCATGACATAAACTAACATGATCAACATTCTTATTCTTGTGCGGGCAGTCGAATTGTATGCCACCGTATGCCTCTAACTAATTTATCGTACTCTCTATATTGTGTGCGTTGGGTATCGTTTGCATGACAAACTTAATTGAACCCTCGCTAGCTTGTTAGGTGCTTATTCAGAAACTCGCTTTAGTATTTACCGAATATTGATAAACCAAATTGAGCCCTCTATTGGGCATATTGGACCCCCGACGTGGTATTGGTCAACTGCCTCCATTCCTGGAAGCTGCAGATTCTATTATGTGGGCTAGAGCGTCAGCATCAGTTCCCTGAAAGTGACCATCCAGGCCTGATGCATGGTCAATTCCTTTGAATGTTCAAATGCAGATAAGTCAAAGTCACCATCGAAGCATCAATGAGCCAGCTGTAATGGATGCGAGGGAACCCGCCTTTATTGGTGATTTTGACGCTGGCATAGTGTTTTGATTATCTGGTCAAATGTGTCACTCTCTACCAGGACTAGCTCCGGTGGGTGCAAGTCTGACTTGGACTGCCTGTGAGGCTGTGAGGCAAAGGCATTGGCATGTACAGCCCTGACGTTTTTAGATGTTTAAGGAGTTGAAACCCCATAGCATCCTCATTTTGACTTTGGATTGATATTTTCCTTTCAGGATTGAGACAGAAAGATAGCATAAGTAGACAAGTGGTACTTGTTCAGCCATCATCTGGCGCTGCCATCTCGGCAACCATGGTTCCTGTTCTTCCAACACACCTTGCCACTGTCTCCCTTCTCTCCTTTGTCGCACTAGTCTCGAGCGCTGCAAATCGAGACATCCTGCGGCCAGGAACCTCTCTCGCCATCGAAGCCTACCAAAGTGAGATCCTGCAATCACCGGATGGCACCTTCTCCTGTGGCTTCTATGGCGTCTATGACAACGCCTTCACCTTCTCAATATGGTACTCCAAGGCAGCCAACAAGACCGTCGTCTGGAGTGCGAACCGCGACCGGCCCGTCCACTCCAGGAGGTCAGCCCTGACCTTGCACAAGGATGGCAACATGGTCCTCACAGATTACGATGACGCGGTTGTGTGGCAAGCTGATGATGATGGCAACTCCCGCAGAAATGTTCAGCATGTTCAGCTGCTGGACACTGGGAATCTCGTAATGAAGAACACCAGCGGCACGATAATATGGCAAAGTTTTGATTCACCGACAGACACGCTCCTACCAGCCCAGCGCATCACGGCTGCGACAAAGTTGGTCCCAACAACCCAGTCACGTGCTCCTGGTAACTACATCTTCCGTTTCAATGATATATCAGTGCTATCACTTATATATGATGTTCCTGAGGTTTCGGATATATACTGGCCAAACCCTGATAACAGTGTGTACGAAAATAACAGAAGCCGGTATAACAGTACTAGATTGGCAATTCTAGACAATAATGGGATCCTTGCATCTAGTGATTTTGCTGATGGAGTGCTACTTAAGGCCTCTGATGCAGCGCCAGGGATTAGGAGAAGGCTAACTCTTGACCCTGATGGTAATCTCCGGCTGTACAGCCTGAACGACTCAGATGGGGTGTGGTCAGTTTCAATGGTAGCAATCTCCCAACCTTGTACTATCCATGGTATATGCGGTCAGAATGGAATCTGTCATTACTCGCCTGAACCAATGTGTTCATGCCCACCGGGTTATGTGATGACCAACCCGGGTAACTGGACCCAAGGCTGCACGGCTAGTTTCAACATACCATGTCATGATCAGGAACCTATGAAGTTTGTGAAACTCCCGCACACGGATTTCTGGGGATCTGATCAGAAGCGCCTTCTGGGAGTTTCCTTTGAGGCTTGTAGGAACAGTTGCATCAATGACTGCACCTGCAAAGGCTTTCAATACCAGCAAGGTGCAGGGTCATGCTACCCGAAAGCTCTTCTTTTCAATGGAAAGAGCTGCGCGACACCCAGCGTGCGAACAATATATCTCAAACTTCCTGCCAGGTTGAGTGTTTCAGGTACACCTATTCCTCAGTCCAATGTATTGGATCCCGCGCCTCCTCGTCTCGACTGCAATCAGATGAGCAAAGGAATCAGACATCCATTTCCAGATTTGCGCAAAACTGGGGATGAAGAATTAAATTGGATCTACCTTTACAGTTTCATAGTTGCAATTTTTGTTTTTGAAGTTTCTTTCATGACATTCGCATGGTTCTTTGTCTTGAGAAGAGAGATGAGGCCATCAGAAATGTGGGCTGCTGAGGAAGGTTACAGGGTGATGACTAGCCATTTTCGAAGATACAGTTACAGAGAGCTTGTTGAGGCAACAAGAAAGTTCAGAGTTGAGCTAGGAAGGGGAAGCTCAGGCACTGTGTATAAAGGTGTCCTAGAAGATGAAAGGCCAGTGGCTGTGAAGAAGCTGGAAAATGTAAGTCGAGGCAAGGAAGAGTTTCAAGCTGAGCTGAGCGTAATTGGGAGGATCTACCACATGAATTTGGCCAGAATATGGGGGTTTTGCTCAGAAGGGTCACACAGGCTGTTGGTTTGTGAGTACGTGGAGAACGGATCCCTGGCAAACATTTTGTTCAATGACCAAAAGACTGTCGTGCTGGACTGGAAGCAAAGGTTTAATATCGCATTGGGTGTCGCGAAAGGATTGGCCTATCTTCACCATGAGTGCTTAGAATGGGTCATCCATTGTGATGTGAAACCTGAGAATATATTGTTGGACACAAACTTTGAGCCTAAGATCACTGACTTTGGGTTGGCAAAGTTGCTAAACAGAGGCGGAGCCACACAGAACATGTCGCAGGTACGAGGAACAATAGGTTACATAGCTCCTGAGTGGGTTTCAAGCCTCCCAATCACGGCGAAAGTCGATGTTTATAGTTACGGAGTTGTTTTGCTTGAGCTTTTATCTGGGACAAGAGTTTCAGAGCTGGCTGTAGGTTCAGGTGCAGAGGTGCATGGCATGCTGCAGAAGCTTGTCAGGGTGCTTGCTGATAAACTGGGAGGACATGAAGAATCATCGATTAATGAATTTGTTGACCCTGAATTGGGTGGACGATTCAGCTATGTCCAAGCAAGAACAATGATCAAGTTGGCTGTTTCCTGCTTGCAGGAAGATAGAAACAAGAGGCCAACCATGGAATCTGTAGTTCAGACTCTCCTGCCGTTTGACGAAGCTAGTAGTTAGTGCTTGGACTACCATTGTTTGTGAAATGTACGAATAAGGTGAAGGGTACTTGACTGCATTGTCAAGGATGTATAATAGTTGCCAGGTGCCACTGTGATGCATTTTAACATTGGATAGGTGGGATCCAGCCGTCTAGGTCACAGTGGTGAAATTTCCATGTTTTTCATGCTAATTTTGAGTTTGCAGATATCATGTTAATACAAAAGTTTGACATAGTTTTGGAACAATGTCCTTGCTAAAAGATACTTGTGATGTTTATGCTTCTTTATGTTTACTGTGACGCCCGGATAATCTTGCTAAAATAATCCCACGCTAATCAAGCCACGTCATCCCGATTACCGATGCTAAACGTCGTCAGTTCAAACCGCGACAAATTAAAATTTAAAATAAAGGCAAATGACAAAAGTTTTGAAATATTAAAACTAAATTGTTTGGGTTGTGTCAAATAATGCATAGGTAAGTATGGTGGAGAAACCACATTTTTATAAAAGGTATAAATGCACTTAAGTAATTAAAGTGGTAGGTAAAACAATTAAATATATGCATTTTGGATTTTATAAAATACTATACTATTTTGTTCAGGGTTAAAACCTTTTGTGGCAGTAGTTATAATTGTAACTCTATTTTAGGTGTGGGTTTCACTTTTTGTAGAACTATAAAATATTACATAAGTAAAAGAAAACAGAAACAAGAGAATAAATAAATAAAAGAAAATACGAAAATAGAAAATTGTAACTAAACTAAAACAAAGGAGAAGCCCCCCCTCTCTGGGCCGTGGCCCAACTGGGCCAACCCCCAGGCCCAGCCGGCCCACCCCCTCCCCTC